TAATAATAATAATAATGGTAATAATATAATAACAATAATGGCAATAATAATAATAATAATAATAATAATAATAATAATAATAATAATAATAATAATAATAATAATAATACAAAATAATAATAATAATAAAAACAAACACAAACACAAAAAGCTTCGACGTTATTTTGAACGCAAATTCCTGCTCACTCTCTCCGTCGGTATTTTCTTTCGAAACTTTCAGAAAAATGGTGCTCGAATCCTATGTCATTGTCTGGTAACGTTTAAAAGGCTGATTGTTATAAAACGTGTGTTGAAACCATGTACCTTTTACGAAGACTGTGCGTGTAAATTAAAAGGGGTAAAGTCCCAACGTGGAAACGAATGGTGAGGGTATCAACTTTAAACGCTTGTAGACTTGTAACTCCATTTCCGATTCGCTGTTATTGATTCTCATTATAAATAATTTAACGGGAAATAAAGCAAAAATATTTATAAACCAACCAACAGTCAAACAATGATGAACATGAGTCTACATATTTTAAAAAATCTGAAATCCTCACAATTTCCATTTCGTGTCACTGACTGTTGTTCCATGCGGAATCCTCAGGTTAAAAAGAATAAATTATTATATACTTTTAACAGTACGATGGCGTTGCAATTGAATGTTACATACCGCGGGAAAAAGCCACATTAGCAGAACTGAAAAATGAAATTGCTTCCACTTCACATCCTAATTACGTTTACAATCTCTAAAATCGCCCCCTGTGAGTTCAGACGTTTTAGCACCTAGGTGCGCTGTCGTTGAAAACGATGGAAAAATCAATGATTCTCAGTACATTATTAGTGTAAATAAACCCACTTTCTGCTGACATCTTTTCATAAGGACATTTTGAAAAAGGCCGACAATTAGTACATAGTCAAACATTTTATTTCGAAGTTGTGGGTTTTCAGACACCAAAATAAATCTTTTGTCAAGCAAGAAAGGTTCCACACCAATGTGACTTTTTAATGCTGATTTTGTTTGCCAAAGGCTGGAATTTCCATAATGGCGGCTTCAAGCAAGTCTGTGAAAAGGTGAGTGTGAGTGAGAAAAAAGTTTTAAAAAAGTATCGAAAAGTATAGCAAAAACCCTTTTCAACATAATTATTATAGATAAGTACCTCTTTAGTGAAAGCCAACATCAAGTACTTCAGAATGGTTCTTCGTTTTGACATACTTGCTTTTGAAACACTTGTCCTTTTTTAAGGATGCCAGCATGAAGAGGGTTTCCGATCTATATTCTAGCAGCAGTGACTTAGGCTGCCTGTGGGTTTTGTTTGGCACATACATGTGGGAAATCTTGCTAATATAAACATTTGATAATAGATTTAAATCTTTTCGGATCAAATCTAGGTATAGATGTAAATGTTTTGGATAATCATTGTTTTCTTCTATTCATTGTATGAAATATTTATTTGTTCTCAATTTACACATAGATCATTAGCTGTAGTTATAGGTCCAGTTGCCACACACCAATGCTGGCGCTATAGTTTTTAGTTTCATTTTCACCTTTCTATTTTCTAAATACATCATATCGTGTTCTAAACAGACAAACCAGAATGCGTTCATTCCAAGATGCCAGTATAATGAGAGAGGTCACTGATGAAGCAGTTGTTGATTGGACATTATACATAAAGCCTCCAGGTGATGAAATGAATTTTGGTCAAGAACACATAAACGACGATGTTCATGACAGAGGTACCAGTGATGACCCACCATCTCGCCAACAATTATTGAAGGCAGAAACCAGCCTAGATTGAACTGACAGAGAGAATTATGCTAGAGCCTATGGAGACCACTCCTCCTTCTCTCTCACTCTTTCTGAATTTAGAGCATTTTTATCTGTCCACAATAATTATGAAGTGCCTTCATTTGGCAGACTATCAAATTCTCAATAATGGTGACAGGTTTGCCAAGGTTCGGCATCTGTATGATTTGCTCAATGAAAGTTTCCTGATGTACTTTTCTGTGGAAGAAACCCACAGCACAGATATGAGTGCATGGTGCCGCACTATGGTCGACATGGTTAGGAGCAAACCCATTGGTTTTGACTGTAAGCAACGGGTTCTGGCCATACTTCTTGGCTATGATGTCCATCTGGACTTGTATCAGGGACTTCGTACAAAGTGTGACAGGCAGCTAGAACTTGGTTACTGCATCTTGAAGCCCCCTCTGAGAGAGGTTTCAGGAGAACAAGGACAGTGAGGAACAATCTGATGGACAAATTGCCCAATTGATTCAGCTGGCCCGAAGAAGTTTGATCGTGGATCATGGGACCATTGACCGTACCATCATAACATCTTTGTCTTGTTCTGGGATGACAATTCCATGGTAACCCTAGCAAGTAACTGTTCTCATGAACCTATTGGAACTGTAAGGAGGTGGTCTGCTGAGAACAACAGGCACATCAATATCCCAGAGCCCAACATTGTTCAAATGTACAATGCCTCATTGGGGGAAGTTGACAGGATTGATAAAAATGTAGGACTGTAACGGATCATCATCAGGTCAAAGAAATAGTGGTGGCCACTCGTTGCTTTCCTATCAGCTGATGCTGCCATGAGCAACGCTTGGCCTCTGTACAAGAAAACTTCCGGCTTACACTATCCTCTCACATGACTTGCATTCTTGACGCCGAGCAGTCATGCGTGTTTATCTACAGGCATTCAATGCTGAAAAGCACTTGCCGTTGCAAATTCACCAGCCAGCTGCAAAGAAGAGGAAGGTTGACAAAGCAACCAGAAAGTCTGTTTTTGGGCATCATCTTGATTCAATGGCGAAGCAGTAGCAGAGAATCTCAGAGAAGGTGTTCATATTGGGGCAAAATTGCAAACCTTGTTTGCATCACATGCAATCTTCTGGCATGTTAACTAGGGCACACTCTCTTGCTTTCTATTCCGAAGTCAAATAGGCCTATTTTGAATGTATTTGGGTTCCTTTTGATCTTACTACATCTGTTCAATAATGTATTTCACCCAAAGATAGTATTTTTGACTCCATTGTTGAATCTTATTGTTGATCTGATATGAAATCACGCTTTTTATGTTTTAAAATTTCTTTTCTTTTTGTTTTTGTTTCATGCTGCATTTTACCTCTGCACATCAAACATTTCAACACAAGGTCACAATAATGATCTAAACACAATTGATTTATCAAAAAAAATGTCTTCAAGAATGCTAGGAATGTTTTATTTCAAATAGTTTCATGATCTGTTCTATTTCCTTGTTGAGTAATGCTTTCATTAGACATGTATTCAATATGTTCTGAATGTCCTTTTGTCCTAGCGTCCTTTTCAAAGGACGAAATTTAATTTAGTACCCCAAAAAATGTTTTGCGAAATTAAACAGATCATTGCTTTTTGTTATATGCGTGTATGCGTGCTGCTGTGTCTGTTATAAGTGAACATTAAAAAGAAATGAAACTTCAGCAGAAAATGGGTACTGTAATGTCATGCATTTGCAACTGTAGAAGTTTCCCGTCCCAGCTGACACCATTTGGATCATTTGTGGTAGTCGGGAAAGCCTCGACACCAGGGCCCTGTCGGGGCCAACCCAGGCAGAGAGGGGGACAACTTCCCAGCTGAAAGACGGGGATATTCTTCACAAATTCTCCCCACTCAGGAATCAAACTTTATTTCATTTGTGTGCGACGGCGAAACGCCTAACCGCTACACCACAGACCCTGGAATTTGTTCTGTGAAAAAGCGTAGAAGAAATCTCTGATTGTGATTCGTTGTTTTTAGAACTTGGAAATGTTTTTGAGATCCGGAGCTTGAATTCGAAAAAAGGACCAATTTATTTTCTGACGAGCCTCTGCAATGGCTGGGAACAACTTCTTTTAACTGACGCATTCTCAAACATTAGGAAACATCTAAGCTTAACATGTTTTTATGAAAGAAAAAGGGAAACGACAAGAAATGAAATATCATTTGCATAATTTGAAATTTGTTCAAACTTACAGACACGCTGACAGAAGTCACACTCACAGAAACAAAACCATTCAAACACACACACACACACACACACACACACACACACACACACACACACACACACACACACACACACACACACACACACACACACGCACAGAGGGTTTCACAAAACATCAAAGCCTAAAAATAACAACAAAAATAAACCTCAGTTGTGTCTCTTGTCTCCCTCACTCACAGCCCGGTTGGCCTTGTCGACTCGTAAGTTGGAAACAAAGCAAAGTGGCAAAAACTTCAGAGATTGTCGAAACTCTTCACATTTCAGCCACTCGTGCGCTCGCCTTTCACATCTAATCTCCAACACAGTTCTCCCACAACATCACAGGATTGTGTCTTATCATTCTGAGCCGATTTCCGCCGGACGGGTTAGATCATAGTCCCTGAACCGATTACGTACAGTATCTAGTACTAATCTGAACTCGTTTGCATCGGTTTTGTACTAGGGGAGCAAAATCAAGGGTCCAGTGACTCCGAGAAGAACGAAAAATGTAATGGAATGTTGTTATGGTTATAGTTTAGCTTAGAAGAAAAACAAGGAAGAAATAGACCCAGAAGGATTTGCTAAAAGATCTTGAATATAAATATTATGGGTGACTGGCAAATATCAGGTAGATGACAAACAAGGAAGAAATAGACCCAGAAGGATTTACTAAATAAAAGATCTCGAATACAAAATATTAATATTATGATTGACTGGCAAAGATAAGGTAGAATACAAACAAGAAAGAAATCGATCCAGAAGAAATTATTCAAAGATCTTGAATATATTATGGGTGACGGGCAAAGATCACGTAGATGATAAACAAGGAAGAAGTAGACCCAGAAGGAATTATTCAAAGATCTTGAATATATTATTGTGGGTGACTTGCAAAGATCAGGTAGAATACAAACAAGGAAGAAATAGATCCAGAAGGATTTGCTAAAAGATCTTGAATATAAATATTATGTGTGACCGGCGAAGATCAGGTAGATGGCAAACAAGGAAGAAATA